CAAGCTGTGAAGTACGTAACAATGCAGCTAGCATATATATATATATACATATTACTTCTTATGTTGTCAACGTTGTGATCGTTGCTAAGGTTGTGGTAACTAAGCAAGCTGTGAAGTACATAACAATGCAACAACCACATATATTTTAAAACACTACAGTGTTTAAATACATCTATTGGATAAACAAAAGGAAACTATTCTTAAACAAGACAGGTGGAAATCATTCTTGCATACAAAGTATAATGAATTCTACGACTTAATATTAGTCTCCGAGAAGAGTCACAAATAACAAATACTCTTATGTTTTGCTTAAAAATATGCAGAAAGATATAACTTCATTTTCTTCAATGTGTAGCATTTGCTATGGCGTTTTAATCAAAAACGTATTCCTAAGGTCAACTGGAGGTCATGGAACAGTCCATTTTAATTAAACAATGTACTTATTTCCATCCTTTCGGTGATAGGTCAAGGTGACAGATTATGACAACTCTTAAATACTGTATGCATATTTCTATAAACACATTATTTAAACGCTCATCATACTTAGGAATTAATTAATCGCTGTTTTCATCAAAATATCCCAAAAGTTGGCAACATTCCGAGTAGAACTAATTATAATACTTAGTACTTTCCACAAGGTATAACGGGGATTTATTTACGGTTTTCACCTTAAATATTTTATACATTCAGAAGGTACGTTTTTACTTCATAAATCAATACTACGTTTTTTTTTTTAAATACGAATCAGAGATTATGAGTTTTTCATTATTAACACGTTTAAGGTATGTGTCACGTAATTAAATTATTTCGCGCGCTCTTTTAGAAAATCCGTAAAATTACCTGTTTTAGGATCAATGACAAAATGACCTTGAGAGTTTCCTGCCGTTATATTAAAGGTTAATTCATCCAGATTGTTCAAGTCTTGGTCGATGGCAATTAGATGAACCAAGGCCGTGCCAGGCTCCGAATTCTCCAGAAGCGAAGGGTAATAAGCTGGTTGCTCTGTTAATGGAACATTGTCGTTTTCGTCCAGTACTTCTATATAGACGTCTAAACAAGTCTGAAGAGGAACTGGCTCTACAGTCTGAGCGCATACGGATAGCCAATACTGCATCTGCTCTTCTCGGTCTAAGGAAGCTGTGGTCCAAATATTTCCTACGGAATAAATTAAGTTCTTCAATTACTCTTTATTCCTCAACAAGTAGTTGAAATGTTTTAATAATATCATTATTGTTTATAACGTTTAAAATGCTCGTAGAAATATCATTAATGCTCTTATTTTATTACTATCTTTCTTTTTTTAAACTTCAGCTTAACTTGAATCTCCTAAGCTGTCCGTCCCCTGGAGAGACAGCGATAATTTTAGGAATTTACCACGCTAAAATCCAAGGTTCGAATCCCCGAGGTGGACACAGCAGATAGCCCAATGTGGCTTTTCTTTGAAACAAACAAACATACCTAATCTATCTGAACCTAGTGGGATTATGGCCGAAAAATAATAAGTCATGATTGAATGTATTCTAATCGATATAGGTTTTCGTTTTCTTCTGTATTGACTTACGATATCATGAGATTCTTGTTATATGAAATTAGCCTTTTTAACTCATAAGTTTGTTTATTTTTGACCAGGAATTATTAATAATTAATGATAACAGACATAACTTTAATAAACGTTTTTTCAGCTGAGGATTATGTTATTATTTGGAAAAAAAATGGAAACATAACAAAATCTACCTTGTTAACGTTTCAAAAATATATAGGCGTAAAAAAAACAGAAGATATACGAAGACGGAAATAGTATGTTTCTTATGGATTTCGCGCAAAGCTACACGAGGGCTATCTGCGCTAGCCGTCCCTAATTTAGCAATGTAAGACTAGAGGGAAGGCAGCTAGTCATCACCACCCACCGCCAACTCTTGGGATGCTCTTTTACCAACGAATAGTGGGATTGACCGTCACATTATAACGCCCTCACGGCTAAAATGGTGAGCATGTTTAGTGTGATGGGGATTCGAACCCGCGACGCACAGATTGCAGGTCGAGCGCCCCCTAACCACCTCGCCATGCTGGATCGATAGAAATAGAGAAAAGATCAAGAACGTGTATGTGTCTAAAAAAAAAGAAGAAAAATTAAAGAAGATAGGAAGCTAATAAGAAAAAAGAAAGAATGATTTAAGAAGGTAGAGAAAGAAGATATACCTTACAAAACGGAGGAGAAATAAATTCGAATACGAGCAATAGCAAAATGAAGAAGAATGAGTAACGATACGAAAGGTGTCACGGTAGAAGACGACACCTACAAACGACCACGAAGAAGACGAAACTTTCAGAGGAGGAAAAAGAAATCCTGAAAAGAAAATTAGACACTTACGTATAAAGAAGACGAATCCTCTTATAGGCGGAAAAAAAATCGCCCCCTCCCAGTAGCACAGTGAAATGTCTGCGGACTTACAACGGTAGAAACCGGGTTTCGAGACCCGTGGTGGGCAGAGCACAGATAGCCCATTGGGTAGCTTTGTGTTTAACTACAAACAAACAAAACAGATTGTATTGATTTTTCCAAGCAAGGTTGAGTCACAGTTCTAACGGAATATATATTTTGTAGTAACACGTGTCATGGCAACAAAATTGCCATGGTGAGCAAAGTCTCTAGATTGTAATCCCATTGAGTTCTGTTGGGCATAACTGAGTCGGAATATTGCTAACCATGACCCTAAATCAGCTACTGTAGTTGATGTGCAGGGCCCGGCATGGCTGAGTGGTTAGGGCGCTCGACTCGCAATCTGCGGGTCGCGGGTTCAAATCCCCGTCACACCAAACATGCTCGCCCTTTCAGCCGTGGGGGCGTTATAATGTGACGGTCACTCCCACTATTCGTTGGTAAAAGAGTAGCCCAAGAGTTGGCGGTGGGTGGTGATGACTAGCTGCCTTCCCTCTAGTCTTACACTGCTAAATTAGGGACGGCTAGCGCAGATAGCCCTCGTGTAGCTTTGCGCGTAATTTAAAAACAAACAAATTAATGTGCAGCGCCTTTTAGAGACAAGTTGGGATGAAATCACGGTGAATTACATCAATAACCTCATCGACAGCATGCCATGTCACCTTGCTGAGGTTATTAAAGTACTAGGAAGACCAAACAAGTACTGAATGTTTAATATGAATTGATATAAGATTACAAACAAAACGTGAAGAAAAGCTAGAAGATATCAGAAGTTAGCATAAACAAGAGAGTGAGAAAAAATAAACTGTGGAAAAAGGACTGATAGAAAAAAATTGGGAGCTCATACTTAATAAAAAAAGGAGGTTTGCATAGGTTAAGTATGTTTTTTATCTACCTAAGTATTAATTTTCATTTTATCGATTCAACAGTCATAATTAGTTTGACCTCTATTAATCTCTTTCTATCTATTTGTGTTGTTTATAAGCAATATTCTTTTTTTTTTACAAGTTACAGCTTTTACAGTAGAGAAGAATATTTTTAAAACATATACGAAGTTTCGATCACTGGTGTGATCATTTTCAAGCACACCAGCGATTGAAACGTCGCACCTGTTAAAAATATTCTTCCTTACTGTAAAAGCTGTAACTTGTAAAAATAACTACTCATATAATCAGAAAGTAAAATATAACGTAACTATTCACATAAACAAAGTTTATTGTTTAAACTAGTTGTGTGTAACAACTCACATAAACAAAGTTTATTGTTTAAACTATATGCGTGTAACTATTCCCATAAACAAAGTTTATTGTTTAAACTAGTCGTGTTTAACTAGTCACATAAACAAAGTTTATTGTTTAAACTATATGCGTGTAACTATTCCCATAAACAAAGTTTATTGTTTAAACTATATGCGTGTAACTATTCCCATAAACAAAGTTTATTGTTTAAACTAGTCGTGTTTAACTAGTCACATAAACAAAGTTTATTGTTTAAACTAGTCGTGTTTAACTAGTCACATAAACAAAGTTTATTGTTTAAACTAGTCGTGTTTAACTAGTCACATAAACAAAGTTTATTGTTTAAACTAGTTGTGTGTAACTACTCACATACACAAAGTTTATTGTTTAAACTAGTCGTGTTTAACTAGTTACATAAACAAAGTTTATTGTTTAAACTAGATGCGTGTAACTACTCACATACACAAAGTTTATTGTTTAAACTAGTCGTGTTTAACTAGTTCACATAAACAAAGTTTATTGTTTAAACTATATGCGTGTAACTATTCACATAAACAAAGTTTATTGTTTAAACTAGTTGTGTGTAGCTTCTCACATAAACAAAGTTTATTGTTTAAACTAGTTGTGTGTAGCTACTCACATAAACAAAGTTTATTGTTTAAACTAGTTGTGTGTAACTATTCACATAAACAAAGTTTATTGTTTAAACTATATGCGTGTAACTAGTGACATAAGCAAAGTTTATTGTTTAAACTATATGCGTATAACTAGTCATAGTCACATAAACAAAGTTTATTGTTTAAACTAGTTGTGTGTAGCTTCTCACATAAACAAAGTTTATTGTTTAAACTAGTTGTGTGTAGCTACTCACATAAACAAAGTTTATTGTTTAAACTAGTTGTGTGTAACTATTCCCATAAACAAAGTTTATTGTTTAAACTATATGCGTGTAACTAGTCACATAAACAAAGTTTATTGTTTAAACTAATTGTATCTAAAATGAATGTTAGTTATTTAGTACTATCTTTAAAATACAAAAATCACTTGCATTTAGAAGAGACAAAAAATTTCGTGAACTCTTTTTTTAAACAGTATTTTCATTACGAACTTTGACCAGTTGGTAGATGTTAATTCCCGAAAGAAAAAAAAAACGTTTATTGTTTTCCAAAGTTGATTACGCTAGAAGACAAAGAAAACGTTTTTATTTTTGCTGTTCCTTACTTACTTAATTGCTTCATTTTTTATAACTCTTCAGTTTTTTTTATAGTTCTATCTTTCATTTAAAGCTTATAAGCTCCCAAATCTCCACAACCGAAACGTCACAAACACCACAAACTCCAACTTAGACAGTTTTTATTTATTTAATTACAGTTTAAATGTAAAAATAGTGAACAACATGTTCACTCCCATTATCATCGTGAAGCACCACGTTCATATTATTTTGTGATGCTAATACCTCTCGGTACGCCATTTATTAAAAATAGTGAACAACATGTTCACTCCCATTATCATCGTGAAGCACCACGTTCATATTATTTTGTGATGCTAATACCTCTCGGTACGCCATTTATTAAAAATAGTGAACAACATGTTCACTCCCATTATCATCGTGAAGCAACACGTTCATATTATTTTGTGATGCTAATACCTCTCGGTACGCCATTTATTAAAAATAGTGAACAACATGTTCACTCCCATTATCATCGTGAAGCACCACGTTCATATTATTTTGTGATGCTAATACCTCTCGGTACGCTATTTATTACAAATAGTGAACAACATGTTCACTCCCATTATCATCGTGAAGCAACACGTTCATATTATTTTGTGATGCTAATACTTCTCGGTACGCTGTTTATTACAAATAGTGAACAACATGTTCACTCCCATTATCATCGTGAAGCACCACGTTCATTTTATTTTGTGATGCTAATACCTCTCGGTACGCTATTTATTACAAATAGTGAACAACATGTTCACTCCCATTATCATCGTGAAGCAACACGTTCATATTATTTTGTGATGCTAATACCTCTCGGTACACTATTTGTTAAAGTTTACCCAAATTATTCACCCACCCACCCCCGGCAGCTCAGCGGTAAATCTGAAAGCTTGTAACGCTACAAACCAGGGTTCGATACGCAACACAGATATCCCATTATGTGTGCGTAATTACGAACAAAAAAAAATGTTCCAATATGCGTGCTTTTATTTAATGAGTTTGAACGAGTTGGAAACTCTTTAAAGTGAGTGAGTTATTTGTACGTACATGTTTGCGTCCACTGGTAATACATTATATCATGTCGTCATACTGAAAGGCATTTTAATACCTAGTTGGATAGGGTTCGAATGAATTAGTTGAACGATACGGAGACACACTAAGATGCATCTACTTTAGCGGCTACAGTAAAAGTAAATCTTTACCATGAATATCCAGAAAATTCAAAGCTCGCGCCTACAAAAGCCCATATTGTCAA